TGACAATTTCCAATAGTGCAAGATACAATAAAACTCACTGGATCCTTTAGTTTTAGAGGTAGCTTTTTTTGGATTCTGGCACTGCATTCCTCAATTAACATCACTGTTTCATTTTCTTCTATCTTTCCCTTGTTAGAGAGGATATCCTTTAGAAATTTTGCATAACTCGGCATCTGAACAAGTACCTCAGCAAATGGGATGTTGATGTGTAATTTCTTGAGGACTTCAAGAAATTTACTATATTGCTGATCCAATTTGTGTTTTTTCAACCTCTGCGGGAATGGAATAGGTGGCTCATGAGGGTTGATAAAATTGGTAGCTGTACCCCGTGATGTATTGGAATTCTTCTTGGCAACATCCCCTGTTGTTCGTTCAGTCTGTTCCACAATCTCGTCATCTGAGATTGGTGCTAATTCCTTGCTAGCTACCGATCTTTTTACATGTATATTCGGTAGTTGTACTCCACTTCTAGTTGTTATAGCCTTTGCATGCTCCTTAGAGTTGATCTTAGTGTTGCTGGGTAAGTTTCCTGGTGCTCTACCTGTCATGGAGATTATCATTTGTCCCATTTGCGTCTCCAAATTTTTGATTGTTGCACTTTGGTCTTGAAGAGTTGCGTCTGTCTTTTGCATAAACTGGTTGTTGGCTTCCATATGCTGATTAGTCGTTGCCATGAACTTCTCAAACATCTCTTCCAATGGTGGCTTTTTATCCTGCTGCTAGAATTGACCTTGTGGTCTGTTTTGATTCTGATTACTCTACGAGAAGTTTGGGTGTTTTCTCCAGCCCTGATTGAAGGTTTTTGAATGTGGATTGTTCTGTTGTCGTTGACCCCATTACACAAAATCTACATGTTCGACCCTCTGTGTGAGAATTGGACTGTTAACAGTATTGTGGTTTGCTCCACATTCTTCATAGCTTGGCTTCTTGACGTGCTTTGCAGTGGCGGTCTGTGAAATGCTCTCAACCTTATGAAATAAGGAGTCCATCTTCGCGGATAATGCTGAGTAAGTATCTACTTCATAAACCCCCTGCGTTACCACATGGCTGAATTTGTAGCCATTCTCTCAAATAGTTCCCATGCTCCGTCAATTTTTTTGTGGGGATAAACCCGTCGGATGATGAGTCCACCATGCTCTTGAAGGATGGAAGTAATCTAGTGTAGAAAAATCGAATTTGTGTCTTTTTATCAAAGCCATGCTGAGGACATTTTCTTAACATATTTTTGAAATGATTCCATGCCTCTTCAAATGATTCGGACTCACCTTGGTTGAATATAGAGATGTCATACCGCATTTTGCTACCTTAGCTGGTGAGAAGAACTTGGTGCATAATTCGTGGGCTAGCTCGTTCCAAGTGGTGATGCTTGCGATGAGAAGTGAATCCAGTCATTCAAATGCTTTATCCCGCAAAGTGTGTGGAAACAATCGCAGTCTTATAGCATCATTTGAGATACCCTGGTACCTAAAGTGTTGGCACATGTCCAGAAATCGGGATATGTGTGTATGTGCGTTCTCACTAGCCATCCTCTAGTATTGATGCCCATTCTGAAATAGTTGAATCACATTTGTTTTCAGCTGGAAGTTCAGTTGCCCAAATGGAGAATACACAATGCTACATTGACTCAAGACCACCAACGGTGCCATGAAGTTCCCAGGTACCATATTCCCTTCATCTTCAACCCCCGCGCCTTCGTTGAGTTGAATTACCAGACGATTTTGCTCGTTAGCCATCTGTTGTGCCGCTCTTGCTTTTCTTTGCGTATGAAGAAATGTGCGTTCGATCTCTGGATCAATGGGAACCAAATCTCTATCAGGTGATCAATATGATCTAGGAGTCGAGCCCGACGAAGGCAAGTGCGAGACGAGACCCGTTGATAGTCGATGGCGGACCAATGACGCGATCAAGGGCAAAGCAAGTGAAACAAGCGATGGGATTAGTCATTCAAGAAACCATTGATGGAACCATGTTCGGGACTCAAAATGGAGCAACTTTCATGTTTGGGTCGAAAGCCGAATCAACTTGGATCAATTTGTTATCAAGCGACAAAAGCAGAGGCTGAAAATAAGTCTGTGCGGCCGCACAGGCAAATAACCATGCGGCCGCACACATGCATACCGAAAATCAAAACACCAATTCTTGTTGAACCATGCGGCCGCACAAGCCAAAAAAATTGGTGAATTTTCTAATTTTGGCAGAATTTCCTAATTTCGATAGAATTATTATGAAATCAAATTATTACCGTAATTTGATGGTTTTGGACGTTTCTATTCATTAGTATAAATAGGAGAATATTTTTCATTGTAAGAGCTTTTTACTTTTGCTTAATATTATAGAGAGAGAATTGTTCTTTCAATTTCTTGTTCTTCTTAAACAATCTTGGAACTTATCAAAATTCAACTTCTTGTGGCGTTCTAATCAATCGGATTGTGGGTTCTTTTAATTGTAATCAAGGGGTTTTAAGTTCTTCGCTAATCTAGGGTTTGTTGGTTCAATTCTTGGGTTTCAAGATCCAAAACTAGGTTAGTATTGGCGTTCTTGGGTTCCGCATCAATCTCATTGTGAGTTTCATAGTTTCCATTGCTACGGGGTTCGCATCAGTTGGTATCAGAGCTTTGGCTCTAATTTGATCAGGTTATATCCTTTGTTTTCTAATTTTTTTAATTCCTTGTGTTCTTGTGTCTAGAAGGTTTTCTTGATCCTTTGATCCAAAAGTTTCATAAAAAATCTTCAAATTCCGTTTCTGGGCTCAATTTTCGCCCAAATTAGTTTTCGTTTTCTTTGTTAGTTTTCTTATTGATTTTCAGATCTAGAAAAAATATAATGTTCATCCGTACGGTATTGCTCATCTGTACAGTAACAAAAATTTTTTGTTAAATATTATTGATCCATCAAATACCAACTTTTATTATTCAATATCGTTTCTAAATTACTTGGACACATTGAATCATTCCATTCCTTCAATTCAAGTCAAGTTTTAAAAGTTTTCTTTGAGTACTTTTTTACAATTATTGAGTCACGTCCAATTTGGGGAATTCTACACGAATTGATTGATTGATTGAGTTCATTGATTGTTCCTAGAAGCAATTGTTGAAAGAACTGAGTGGTAAAAGGCAGAGAGGTGAGCTTAATAGAGGGTAAAAGACCTTGTGTGTGTTCCGAGTGACTTTTGGTGAGGCAATAAAATAAAATTTTTAGTGTTAGGAAGTCAGAAAGGGCAGAATCAAATTCAAGCCGACAAGGCAATAATAGCAATGCATCGGAGGATTTAGTGCAGAGGTTTGAGAGGGCGTTTGGAGATGTGAGAGATAGGTTGGAGAAGCAGGAGGCTTGGATGAATAGATTAGATACATCGGTGGCTAATCTTAGTCGGGGACATCGAGTGGATGTATCCAATGCCAGGGGACCGGATAGATGGGAGCCTAGGAGGGAAAGGCGAGAGGAGTATGGATATGGGAGTGACATGGGCGAAGATGAATTTCAAGGTGTTGAGATGGGAAGGATGAGGAATAGAGGTGATAGGTTCGACAAACGAGGTCGGAATGATCGCGGGGAGGAGCTGGATGGAAACTTGGGAAATATAAAAATGACAGTTCCTTCATTCAAAGGAAGGAGTTATCCCAAGGCATATTTGGAGTGGGAAAGGAAGGTTGAAATGATCTTCGAGTGTTATAACTACTCGGAGAAGAAGAAGGTGAAGTTAGCAGTTTTGGAGTTCAGTGACTATGCAATTTCATGGTGGGATCAAGTGATTACTTCACAACGTAGGAGTGGGGGAAGACCAATCAGCACTTGTGAGGAATTGAAGTCATTGATGAGAAAGAGGTTTGTTCCTAGCTACTATTACCGAGATATCCATCAAAAACTGCAAGGTCTATATCAAGGGTCGAAAAGTGTAGAGGACTATCATAAGGAGATGGAAATACTCATGATTAGGGCCAATGTGGTGGAGGATCAGGAGGCTACCATGGCACGATTCTTGAATGGGTTGAATAGGGAAATTGCTAATGTAGTGGAGTTGCAACATTATGTGGAGTTGGAAGACATGTTGCATGTGGCTATGAAGGTAGAGAGACAACTGAAGAGAAAAGGGGCAGCTAAGCAGCCGTTAGGAACTTCGAGTGTTAATCCATCTTGGAAGCCAGGTTGGAACAACAATAACAAAGGTGATAAAGCTGTACCTAAATGTAGGAATGAGTGGCAGAAAGGAAAAGAAGAAAGTGCTGGCAAAACAGCACACAAAACATATTCACAACCATCAAGGAATCGAGACATCAAGCGTTTCAAATGCTTGGGGTCAGGGCACATTGCTTCTCAATGCCCAAATAAACGGGTAATGGTGTTGTTGGATAATGGAGAGGTGGTGAGTGAAGGTGAAGGAGAGTTTGAGGACATGCCTGCATTTGAGGACGTTGAAGAAGAAGAAAAATTGGAGTTTGCTGTTGGGGAATCGTTGGTGTCAAGGAGAGCTCTTAACGCTCAAGTCAAAGTGGATGATTCGGAGCAACAGGGAAAAAATATATTCCACACACGTTGTTATGTCAACGATAAGGTATGTAGTATGATTATTGATGGTGGGAGTTACACGAATGTGACTAGCACAACTTTAGTTAAGAAATTAGGACTAGCATTGTTAAGACATCCTAGGCCTTATAAGTTGCAATGGTTGAGTGAAAGTGGGGAAGTTAGGGTGAATAGAAGAGTTTTAATTAATTTTTCAATTGGGAGTTATAGTGACAAAGTAGTATGTGATGTGGTGCCTATGCATGTGGGTCATATCTTGTTAGGAAGACCATGGCAATATGATAGAAGGGTCACACATGATGGATATAGGAATCGTTATAGCTTTGTCAAGGATGGGAAGATTATTACTCTTGCGCCATTAACACCGGCACAATTGTATGGAGATCAAATCAAGCTGAAAAGTGAGGAAGATGAGAGAATAAGAGAGTCAGGAAAAAGGAGAGGCAATAGTGAAACCATCAATAAGAGAGAAAATAGTGAGGTGGCTAAGAGTGGAGAAAAGAGAGAGAAGCCACATGAGCAGAGAGAAAAGGAGTCAGTTGAGAGGAGAGAAAAAGAGTCAGCTGAGTGGAGAGAAAAGCCAAAGGTCAACTTCTATGCTAGAGATAGTGAGTTAAAAAAGGCTATGAGCAATAATAGGCAAATGATTTTGTTAGTGTACAAGGAGTCCCTCCTCAATTTTGAGGATTCTAACACATCCCTCCCAAGTTTGGTTAAGTCTTTATTGCAGGAGTTCGACGATATGTTTCCTAAGGAGATGCCAAGTGGATTGCCACCAATCAGAGGCATCGAGCACTAGATTGACTTTGTACCCGGAGCTGTCATACCGAATCGGCCAGCTTACCGAAGCAATCCCGAGAAGACGAAGGAGCTTCAAAAGCAAGTGTAGGAGTTGATGAGCAAAGGTTATGTCAGGGAGAGCATGAGTCCATGTGCTGTACCTATTTTTCTGATGCCTAAGAAGGACGGGACTTGGAGAATGTGCGTGGATTGTCGAGCTATCAACAATATCACGGTAAAGTATCGTCACCCAATACCTAGGCTAGATGATATGTTTGATGAGTTGCATGGTGCTTGCATTTTTAGTAAGATTGGTCTTAAGAGTGGGTATCATCAAATTCGCATGCGGGAGAGTGATGAATGGAAAACGGCGTTTAAGACTAAG